AGAAGACTCAGCCAGTCAGGTCCTTCCAGGTTCCTCTGCCTGCTTGTATCCTAGCCATGCTGGCAACTGATTAGATGGTGCCCACCCAGATTGAGGATGGGTCTGCCTCTCTTATTCCACTGACTCAAATGTTAATCTCCTTTGGCAACACCCTCACAGACACACCAGTAACAATAATTTGCATCATTCAATCTAATCAAATTGACATTCAGTATTAACCATCACAATAGAATAAAACTGAAGATAAAGAAAATGTGGGGCTGGGCATGAGGGCTCATGCCTGTAATCCCAGCAGTTTGGGAGGCCAAGGCAAGAGAATCAATTGAGCTCACAAGTTTGAGACAAAACTAGGCAGCATAGTGAGATGTCATCTCACCAAAAAATAAAAAAAAAATTAAAAAATAACAAATGGTCATATGTAGAGGTGCATGTTCTCACTTGTAAGTGAGGTCTAAATAATGGGTACATATGTACATGAGTGTGGAATAATAGACATTGGAGACTTGGAAGAGTGGGAGCATGGGAAGGGGGTGATGAGTGAGGAATTACTTAATGTATACAGTGTATATTATTCAGGTGGTGGTTACACTAAAAGCCTAGTCTTCACCACTATGGAATCTATACATGTAACAAAACTGCTCTTGTACCCCTTAAATTTATACAAAATTAATGATATGGTTTGGCCGTGTCCCCACCCAAATCTCATCTTGAATTGTAGCTCCCACAGTTCCCATGTGTTGTGGGAGGCACCCGGTGGGAGGTAATTGAATCACGGAGGTAGGTCTTTCCCTTGCTAGTCTTGTGATAGTGAATAAGTCTCATGAGATCTGATGGTTTTATAAAGGGGAGTTTTCCTGCACAAGTTCTCTTCTCTTGTCTGCCACCATGTGAGAAGTGCCTTTCACTTTCCACCGTGATTGTGAGGCCTCCCCAGCCATGTGGAATTGTGAGTCCATTAAACTTTCTTTTGTACACTTTCTTTTGTAAATTGCCCAGTCTTGGGTACAAATATATATATATACACACACACACTCAGGGTGAAGAGGGTCAAACAATAAAGCAATTCTATAGCTCTCTTTAGTATGCCTTTTTCAGAATTATTTTTAGTCAGTACTTATGTCTCACATCATTAAAAATATACATACATGTATTTATTAGCCCGGTGTGGTGGTGCATGCCTGCAGTCCCAGCTACTCCGGAGGCTGAGGCAGGAGAATTGTATGAACCCAGGAGGTGGAGGTTCCTGTGAGCCGAGATCAGGCCTCTACACTCCAGCCTGGGCAACAGAGCGAGACTCCGTCTCAAAAAAAAAAAAAAAATATATATATATATATATATATATATATACACACACACACACACACGTATTTTATGTAGCTTGAAGAGATACATAAAAGTAAAAATAAATAAAACCCAAAAAGTAGACAAAGAAAAAATTGAAGTGGCAAAATAAGAAAAAGTAAGGGACTCCATCAATGCTATACTGTAGGTCAAATTATACTATAGTTAAAGGTGCACCACAAAAAAATGGTTCTGAGATTCCTAGCAGGCAGACCAAAAAGGAAAATTGATCAGATTCATAGGTCCATCAGATAAAAGCAAGCATGTCAAAAGACAGTTTTATTACAGCTCAATCTTTTCACCATCCAAACACTTTCTGAAGTCACAGACACTTTACCTAAACCTCTTTTCTGCATGCATCTCTCTTTAACTTATGTTTAGGCATCTTGATCCACTACAAAACCATGTGAACCATAAAGACAGAGGCCTTAGCATATTATTATTATTATTTTTATTTTTTTGAGATGGAGTCTCGCTCTGTCCCCCGGGCTGGAGTGCAGTGGTACGATCTCGGCTCACTGCAAACTCCACCTCCCGGGTTCACACCATTCTCCTGCCTCAGTCTCCCGAGTAGCTGGGACTACAAGCGCCCACCATCATGCCCAGCTAATTTTTTGTATTTTTAGTAGAGACAGGGTTTCACCGTGTTAGCCAGGATGGTCTCGATCTCCTGACCTTGTGATCCGCCCGTCTCGGCCTCCCAAAGTGCTGGGATTACAGGTATGAGCCACCGCGCCTGGCCAGCATGTTATTTTTTTTTATAACACTGTGCTTCACATAAGACAGGATTTCCATTAAATGTTTGCACAATAAATTAATTAATGACCTTTTAAGATGTGTGTCAAAAGAAAGAAACCTGTTTGAGTGAACTTCACACTTTCAAAGCACACTCGCTGGGAAGATAGGCTGACAAATTGTGTTGAGAAAAATGAAGGTTATAAGTGGATCTGTGTGTGTATAGGAATAATTATTATGGCAATGTATTATCATTTTCACATAAGGGAAATAGAATGGAGGGGTTGAAGAAGATAGCTTGAAAAGAAAGGAGAAACTATTGAATACAGATTCTTCATTACAAATTTTTATCAAAATCTAAATCTCAGTAGAATAACAATCTGAAGTCACTGGGCAAATGATCTTCATTCACTTTAAAATTAATGATTATATTATTTTTAAGTGACAAGTTTCCCATTAATTTAGGTGCCTTTAAGTGTATTCCAACAATTTATAATGCTCGCTAACACATTTTATTGTATCCAAAGTTTAGAAGTATCTAGTCAAATCACTGTATTGTTATATGGTAGTATTATTTTGGTCTTTAATTCCAGAATTCTATGTAACAGTTATCTAAGTGGGGGTTATTTAGGGTATTTCATGCAATTTCCTTTTTGTTTGTATATTTATTCAGCAAGCACTTACTATATGCTCACAATGTGCCAGAACTGTGGGTGAGAAAGAAACATGGTACCATTAATTAAGAAACTTACAGTCAAGGAGGAGAAATAACTACAGCAGAGGAGTGCATATTTGTACCCACCAAGGAATGGTGCAGAGTCCTCCAGGAGACGGAGGTCATAAAAGAAAAAGAGCTAACTTCTTGGATTGATCTAGGGAAACATGGTGGAGGAGGTGGCATTAGATCTAGTCTTAAATAATATGTACACTTCGGATTCCTATTAAAGGGCACATGTGGAAGTAGGGGGGTGCAAAATTGTTGGATGGAATTTATGATGAAGCATCTTAATGTGAAACAAAGGAGCAATGGAAACAGTTGTGTAAAGGGAGGGGAAGAGAAGAGAAGAGGGTGTTAAAATCTTGATGAAAGGGATAGCAAAATCAGAATAACACATGATGTGAATTATTGATGGAGGCATACAGGAAAGAATGCACCACATTTCAGTTTCTTTCAATACATCCAGCAGAACAATGCCAACCAGAAGCCAAAGCACATTGTCCAGAATAGGCAAATGTATAGAGACAGAAAGCAGAGTAGGCGTAGCCAGAAGCTGGGGCAAGGGGGAAACAGGGAGTGACTGCTGATGGATATGGGTTTTTTTTCTTGAGGTGATAAAAATGTTCTGAAATTAGGTTGTAATGATGGTTGCATGACTTTTGCAAGTCTTTAAAAAGTCATATGTTCTCGACTTTAAAAATAGTTCCCACTTAACCTTTTCATATGTGTTTAGGCATAGCTTGTTCATTGGTTGTCCTTATTTATGCTCTGTTTTGATTTAGTATTCGCCCATGTTCTATGCTTTATGTCCTCCTCAGATTAGCAATCTTGTTTTGTATCACAGCTTTGATGTTGGCCTTGCTCCAGGATACCACTTCAGATCTTGCTGCTATTATTTCTACTGTGGATAACAAGAACCCCATCCTAGCAGATAGGACACTTCCCACCTGAAGCTATTCCCCACCTGGCTCCAAGCCTGAGGGGGGCAGGGGAATTATGCAGATACATTCAAATCAGAGTCATGAAAATCAATCAGGCAGCATTTTAGATGAGTTATAAATTGCTAAGGCTTAACTTAGGATGGGGTAGGATTGAGAATGAAAAAGAAGAAAGGAAAGAGATCTTGTGCAAGAATGGGCAGGGAGTTGTTTCAGATTACATCTGGAATAGAGTCAGAGTAACCAAAGATAAATCACATTTTAATTCCCAAGTGACACAGCTTTTTGTCACAGTTCCTTGGAATTTCTACTGGAGGGTTATATATTATGATATAACACTTTACGCAGTGCTTGGTATACAGTAAATCTAGGTAATGGCTTTTGCAAGGATTTTATGTTTATGTTTTGTTTTTACCTCTTCCCAGAAGACTCCTGCTTTCAAGTCAGTTCATTAATCATTATCATTCTCATCTACAGGAGGTAGGAATTAGTATCCTCATTTTGTAAATGAGACTACTGAAGATGAATTAGATTAAATGATTTGCCCAAGGCCTCCATGTTGGACTGTGATTTTGTAAAAAGGCAGAGCAAATTCTGTTAGTTCTACATTGGAGATGGGAGATCACAGGGGGTTGATAGAATCTAGAGGGGGCAAAATGGAGATGAGAACTTAGAGGTAGAAATGGAAACAGTGAAGGTACCAAGAAAGGCAAGGTCAAGACAGATGAGAGCAAGACCTAGCTTTGGGGATTTGCATTGGCAAGGCCAACCCTGCAAACCAGCTCAGCCAGAAGAAGGGCAAGACAACTTCACTATGTGTCAATGCTTTGGAGTTTGAATGGGGAAAGTGGAGAGTCCCTGGGAACCTAAGCGACCCAGGAAGAAGAGGGCCAGCTATAGCAGATCTCATGGAAAAAGTATTTATGGAAGTGTGTTTTTGACCTACTGCCATTGTGAGTTGTTCGGCAGTTTCATCATGAGGTACAGAGCAACAGGAAGGCTACTCAGAATCAATCTCATTTCTAGGGTAAAGACTCTTGTATGTCTTGAGGAGTTGATTTTCATAGAAGAACAGTCTGCAGATAATAATGGGTTACAATAAACTTACTGCTCCTCAAAGAACCAGCAACTACTTTGTCCTAAAATCAGTCTTCCCTTCTGATAAGTCCTAATGCCATGTAACCATTTGATACTTATCATTTATTACATAATGAGTTACTTTTTCATATATTTATACTATCTCTCTAACTTGACTATATATTCTACCAAGATGGGAGTAGATATTCTTTTTGCATTTTACTATGGATATAAATGTATACATTGTACCCATTTAATCAAATACTTGACTGATTGGATGCCTGCATCAAACGCAGACATGACTCCCCACAAAATGGGCTTCATATGAGCCTATGTGGCAAAGATTAGGGTTCCTGGGAAGCAGATTCTGAGATGAAATTAAGAGCTCATTATGTTAATTAAGGTGCATCCTTGGAATCAACACCTCTCGAGGTAGGGGAAGGAAGCAGACAGGGCAGAGAAAGAAGCTGCGCTTCCATGGAGACCCATCACAACTGCAGTGAATCTCATAGAGATTTCTAGAGCTCGAATGACCCTTCAGCATTTTCTCAAGATGAGTGGTAGTGAACAGGCCCTTACACTCCCTCCTTGATCAGTTTTTGGATGTGGGCTGCCTGTAAAGGGGTGTGTCCTCGGGCAAGGCTGCTCTCTGCAACAGAGGCAGTCCTTGGAAGGGCAGCCAGCTTATGGCCATCTGCCTACAGCTGAAGAGCAACAGGTTCTTCAGTGAAGGAAGGTCTGGCCAGTGCAGCACCAGGCTCATTCATATTAGGTAACTCCAGGTAAATGTAAGTGCATTTCTTAGAGATGGGATGAGGTACTTTGAAGTACCTCATTGAGTTTAAAGGCAAAGGTATTGATACCTACAGTTATATTCACTAGTTCTGGTTGAGTTCAATTACACTGAATTTGAGATGGCAGTTTGAAAGTTTACTGTCAGTAACTACAAAAGAAGAAAAGACAAAAAAGCAGAGCATTGTCTTTGCAATTATGCTGGGACACTTTCAGAGTAAGTCCCCAAGATACAGGGTCCAAAAAAATACTGATATGGTACTCATTTGTGATTCTATGTATTCTCTTTCCAAGAGAACTTCAGCTGCATGTTGGATGGAAAACAATATGAAACAAGGGAGACAGAGACAGAGGAGAAACACAGTTTGTTAATATTCTGTGCTAGATTCTGCAGAGGAATCACTTTATTTTGCAGATGTAACTAGCTTAAGTAGAGCTAAAAGTTATGTAGCTAGAAAGCTGACTTACACCCTTAAAGCTAATGAAGAGAAATGCAGGTTTCCCAGGGTAGGTTCTTGGCACTTCTTTGCAAATAGGTAAAAGGGAATGGCAGATATTCAAGCTCAGGGAGCAAGCAGCAAGGACAGAGCCTTCCCCCCTCTCAGTGTGTTGAAGTCAGCAGATAGCACACCTGCTGCTGCGTGAGTTCCTTCTGCCAAGCAGAGCAGCACAGCTGCAAGACGCTCTGCTTCTGGCTCTGAGCTTTGCCTGTCTTCAGGGATGAGGCCCCTCCCAAGGCAAGTTCAACTGGGTTCTTTGGCAGCCGAAGTCTACATGGACCCTGCAGGGAGCGGTGGAGAAAAGTGAGTTTGACATGCTTGGAAATATTTAGATCTTGGATGTAAACTTCAAGGAAAATATTTACTCTGTTTGTTTTAATACCACAGAGGTTTGGATCCCGGGAATCTTCAGACGAGTACAAAAGGCTCTTGCCAAGGCACCAATTTAACAATTTGGTCAGTGACAAAAGGGCATCCTGTTTAACTAGTCTGAATTTAAATAGCATGTTTCCAGTGTATTAGCATGTCTGTCTCATCTGTTTACTGAACTGTTTAACCCCTGAATTTTGTGTTTGGTTTATGAATTTGCACAGAATCAAATACAGTTTTTTAATAGAAAGCAAGCAAAAAAGCAGGTCATCACATAGTCGAAAGGGTTGCTACCCGAGCATTGACAATCAACTTCCCACGATTACTTGACGGTTCAGAGTGAGCAGATCCTCATAGAAGGCTACAAACTCTCTTTATTCTTGGCTCTTGGTGAAAAAGTCCTTACTGCCTGTTTGCTGGTGCTGAGAAATACTGCAGAATGCTAAAGGACTATGCAATTGTATTTTTGGTGAGTGAATTATGGTAAAAGAGAAATCTTGTAAATGTGACTTGAAAAGTAGCATATTTTGTGTCCTGTCTTTGTGTTTCATGTGGAATCCCCGCTGCAGGGCACAACTTTCAGGACTCACGCTGATTTCCCTTTAGTTTTCTGTTTTTGTTCGTCTGCAGCAGAGTGGGAAATAGCTACTGTAAAGGGAAGTCTTAAGAAAACATATCAGTTATGTGCACACTATGTGTACATATATGGAGGAAAAATAGACAAATGAAACTGGCATCACAATGCTCTCTCCAAGGGCCTATAAGAGATGAACTGGGACTCCTTCCTGCCTTCAGAGAGCATAGCAGGCAGAGAAAATGTTAACCATTTTTTCAACTATCAGAAAAGTAGATTTCATGATGTCATACAATTTCGTATTCCACTGTCGGATTGCTTCCCCACTTTGGCAATTAAAAGTAATTACACTTTTTTTTTTTTTTTTTGCTGTACTGCCAAGCCAATTTCTCCTATATAATTGTTTTTAGACATGGCGAATGAACAGCTGTTTTTCAATTATTGGACACAGTTGTATTTCAATTCCCTTGTAACAGCTGTGAAACAGAATTCCTATTCAGAATTTTATAACAGTAAACCGCACAAAGACTGCTGTTGTCTCTCTGCTAATGGAGATTTTGTGTCCCATTTCTTTCTCAGTACCATTTCCCAGATGCTGTCTATTGTCTTTCCTCCATCTTTGCTTGATTGTTACTCCCACGTGTATGAACCAAGTCTGATGTCTGCTGATGAAACTTTATGTACAATGCCTTGGTCAGTTTTTCCCTCCATCAGAAGAGGAAGTTATCCCACTTCTCCTAACCAGTTGACAATTAAGTGAAGAAGGAATTTGAATACCTGCATGGTCATTCTGTCACTACCCACTATTGTCACATTTCTTCTTAGTTGCATATCAGTTATAAGAACAATTAGAGTGGGAAAAAGTCAAACATGTAAAAATTTATATTTGCTAATAAACTAATTTGCATGGGAGCCACTAGAGAAATATAGACTCATCTGCTTTATAGCAGCTTAGAACCAAGAGAGATCTACCAGACCAGTTAGTGTAACACTAATGGCTTTCATCTTGGAGAAAGGAAAACAAGCCAGAGTGGTTAAGTAATTTTTCTGTTTTTAGGTAACCTATCTCTGTTGTTGCTTAGATATCTTAGAGCTCAATTCCCCAGTTTTAGTAGCTTCCTTTACTCTGTTTTTGTTTTTTTTGTTTTGACGGAGTCTCACTCTTGTCACCCAGGCTGGAGATGCAGTGGCACATCTCGGCTCAGCGCAACCTCTGCCTCCCAGGTTTAACTGATTCTCCTGCCTCAGCCTCCCAAGTAGCTGGGATTACAGGCATGTGCCACCATGCCTGGTTAATTTTTTTTTTTTTTTTTTTTTTAAGTAGAGACAGGGTTTCTCCTTGTTGGTCAGGCTGGTCTCGAACTGCCAACCTCAGGTGATCCGCCTGCCTCAGCCTCCCAAAGTGCTGGGATTACAAGTGTGAGCCACCGCACCCAGCCATCTTCCTTACTCCTTAACGAATGGTAATCTAAAATCAGAGAAAGCATGGTTCTGGAACATTGAAAGGTAAACTAAGAGAACTATATGTTGCCATTCAGATGCAAAAATAATTCTCCCAGTCTCTAGGCCAGATTGAATTTCCATCTGGTAGAGATTTATGTGTTAACTATAATACTTGATTTCCCCCTAAAGTTCAAATCTCTTTGGAAGGTATTAATTTTATATTATATAGAAATTTATACTGAATATGAACTAACAATCTGAGAATGTGTTTTGATGGGCTGAAAGGAGGAGATGCATGAGGGACTTATACAAAGCCATGTAATTTAAACTTAATAAATGTAATGTTAATGGCTGTGTATTAGTTTTCTATTGCTGCTGTAGCAAATTACCACAAACTTAGAGGCTTAAATAATACAAATTTATTATCTTCTGGATCTTAGGTTAGATGTCTGAAGTGTTTTTCACTGGACCAAAATCAAGGTGTTGACTGGGCTACCTTCCCTGCTGGAGACTCTAAGGGAGAATCCATTTCCTTGTCTTTTCCAGATCCTAGAGGCTACCTGCATTCCTTGGCATTTATCCCCTGTCTTCCATCTTCAGAGCCAGCAACAGTGAGTTGAGTCCTGATATGGCATCACTCTCATCTCCTCTGCTGCTCCTTCTTCCATTTTTAAGGACCGTGTAATTACATTGAGCCTATCTGGATAACCCAGGATAACCTGTCTCTTCTAAGATCAGCTGTCAAGCAACCTAAATTCCATTACAACCTTAATTTCCCCCATTCAGCCATATAACTTAATATATTCACAAGTTCCAAGGATGAGGAAGTGGACATCTTTGAGGGTGTGTTGTCATTCTGCTTAACACAGAGTGTAAGAGAAAAGCTACAAATAGCAATGGCTTAACTAAATAATAAGTTTATCTGTTGTTCACATCTGGAGTTTCTGGTAAAGCAATCCTCTAAGTGACTATTCAGGGACTCGGGTTCCTTTCATCTTCTGTATCTGCCTTCCTACTGAGCTTGATAGCCTTCCCTGTTCAGTTAATACATGAAGAAAGAGAGAGAGGTTTTTGTGTATGTGGTTTTATACACCAGGCTTGGAGGCAGTGAAAATTATTACTACCTATATTTCATTGACAATACTTAGTTATGTGACTACACCTAAGTACAGTGGACGTTAGGAAATATAGTCTATCTATGTGCTTAGAACATGAAGAAAATACATTTGATGAAGAGCTAGTCAGTCTGTGCCAATTCTATCCATTTGTTCACCAAGCATCTATTCCATTTTTCCTGCCACACATGGAACACAGGTGTCCTTTCTGAAGGTGGAAAACTAAAGGTCCCAACAAGTCATTGCATAAAACTCAAAGTCCAGGATCCTTGAGTGATGCTCATCTCTCTAGACCAGAATTGAAGTGGCTTATTTGAACCTATAAATGATATGTATTTACACACACACACACACACACGCACACATGCATACACATATCATGCAGGGACAATACATAGATACAGGAAAACATTTTAGGCACCTGTTTGGCAAAGGAAACAATGAGAGGCATTCAGCTGTTACTGAACCATAGCAATTTTGAAATCCTGCTAGGCAGATATTAAGGGTCCTATTATTTGGCTGGAAAAAAAATCTTTTATTTATTCCTAAATTATGCTCCCTAGAATCTCCTTTCTTCAGTGTTCTCCATGGTTGCTGATTCCAGCCTCTGAGAGATTCTTCTTTGTCTGTCTTTCCCATGACCTTCAGGAAGTGGGAGTTGGGGATTATGTCTGGTGCTGATAAAAGTTGGGGGACCCGGTACTAGTCTTAAAGCTTAAGAAGTCAGTATTTTTAGTCCATGCTCATAGAATCCCTAGGGAAACAATTTTCCCCAAACTAATAGACATTTAAATTGTCTTGCTTCTAGTCAATTCCATGTACCAATAACTACATTTGAAGTTTTCTCATTGTAATAATTCTCATGACTGATTTATTTTTTGCTTCCTCACCTATAACCTTCTAAGCCACTCCCAACCTCCCTGAAGCTATCTGAAATAGTATTTTTGAATACTGTTTCCTTAATCTAATCTTTATATTAAATTGTCTGTTTTTTTTTTTACCAATAATGTTATTTGATTGTTGTCATTCAGAGCCTTTTCCAATTTGTCTTAATTAGGATGCAGAAGCACTCAGGTTTATTAACTCTAAAAGTTATTGATCTCTGGATACATATCCACTTCAATTTCTGCTTCAAAATAAGTCTGTTTTTGTCTGTGCTCATCTCTTTCTTGTAATATATTGCTAACAAAGGCCAGTAGTAGCAAATAGGCACTGTTACTCTCCTATCAATCTCTTGTCCTCACGTCCAAAAACTATAGGCTTATAGGCTCATGAGGTGTGTTGTGCCTTTCTATTTAACGTATGAAATGGTTTTACCATATGTTTTGCCATGAAACAACATGACCTGGGCCTTCATTGTTCCAGCCTCATCTATCAGCCTCCATGAGGCTATCTGAAATAACATTTGTGAATATTCATTTCCTTAATCTGATCTTTATCCTAAGGCTGCATTATAGGTTCTCAGATCCTTCCCTTTTCAGGGACAAATAGAAAAAAGCAACAAGAATCACTTGTGGGATATTGTGATAAAATGGGCCTGAAATTAATTAACATCTTTTCTGCCCACATTCTGTTGGTCACAATTAAGTCATATGGCCATATTTAATTGCAAAGTATGATAGAAAATGTATTTGTGTGTGTGTGTGTGTGTGCACGTGTGTGTGTGTGTGCCCAGTGGAAAATGCCAATGGATTTTAGTGCATATGTGCAGTCTCTGTCACACCAAAAAGCACAAAACTAAGTATCTGGGTATGCCAAATTCGGCTATATTGTCGGACAGTATTGCTTAGAGTATTAAGAGC